GGTGAAACTGACCTGGTATCTTCTGAGAAGTCTGTTAGAGTCCTACCTTGGTCTCGATCCTCATTGAATTTCCTCTTGAATTCATCTGTCTTGGCGTCTATATGTTCTCGGAGTCTTGTATCCAGGTTGAGGTGTCTCAGAGAGTTGATGGTCTCATAGAACGCTCCGATAACATTCAGGTTGTCTATAGGGTCTGACACTATGTTGGTGTTGTTGTTAGTCTGTACGTTAGCTACGTTGCAGTTGCTCCTATCGATTATGTGCTGATCAGTTTTTAATATGGATGTCAGAGAGAGGGTGGTAGGGTGTTGGCCTGAAGATTTTATTAACGGTGGGCATGAACTCGTGTGATTTCCTGAAGTCAATTTTTTTATATAAATTCCGCCAGTACTCTCAACTGACTGGTCGAACTCGTGTTGGAGGCTCAGTCTAACTTCTTGTAGAAGATGCTTGATGTGTTGGGTCCTGGGGAGCTTGGCCCTAGGATCTGTACGATGAGAACTATGCAACAATATGCTTTATAATTTTGTAGTTTGTAGATTTTCCTTGTGAGGTATTTCTTCACACTATCAGACGGTTTGGACGTGGCAACTGTGTTGGTGATGGCATCGGAAATGGTTTCGGTGATGTTGTGTAGGTGATCGTCAATTTCCTTGATAGATAGGTTCCTGTTAGTAGGAACAACTAGGTTAAAGTTTTTCTTGACGTGGTCGTGGAAAGTTTTCCAGTCGGTGCCTTTGAAATTGTATCGAGGTAGTCCGGGGGGCACGCTAAGATTGAGGGTTCTTGGTCTAGGTTGACAGAGATGATGATGGCCGCGTGATCGCTATCATAACCCAGGGTGGGGGTGTTGTCCTGATGGGGACAGAGAATCTCTAATCTGCAGTCTGCGATGCAATGATCAGGGAACGTCTGGGTTCTGGTGAATGTGGGGGATACACCTGACATCAGGTGTTCTCTCTATTTGGAGTCGTTATTGGTGAGCCATTCCGTAAGATACTTGCCTCGTTCGTCGCATCTCCTGTCGCCCCAATTTGTGTGGCGTGCGTCAAAATCCCCTGCCACTATATAGAGGTTCGGGGACTGGAGATTGAGGGATTGAAAGATGTGGTCCAGCTCGTCTATGAAAAGTTGTTTGGTGGTGTTGCTGTTGATGGCGTATAAACTAATGATGAATAGGTTTTTTCCGTCTGAAGTAGAGTTTGGTGATGTTGTATTCAATGATTTTGTTGTTGTGAGAACTAGGGTAATTGATGAGTTTATACGCTAGATCTTTCTCGATAATGGAAACCACTCCGCCACCACTAAGGGCGTCTTTCCTGTCAGACCTTTCAATGAAGTGATTTACCAGGTTGAACTTGTGCATAGTCCTGAGTTTCGTTTCTGAGATCAGGCCTATGTCGATGTCGTTATTACTAATGAAGTCAACTAGTTGGAATCTTCGTTTTTGTGTGATGATGGAATTTACGTTTATAGCAACAATTTTGAGGTTATTAAACGTGTGGGCCTCGTTGGAAGGAGGAGGGGTATTTGCCCTTAAAGGGGTTTGGTGTTGTTGGCGTGTGTTAGTCATTTTTTTTAACATGTTGAGTGTCCAGGTTCAGTGTACGCATGATACTGAGGATCCTGGCTGTGTTAAGGTTGAGTTTGGCATTAACTTCGCTGAGTTGCGTTGATATCGTCGAAGTGATGTGTATCATTAAGCCATCGACCCATGGTGGTGGGGTGTCCAGGCTTGGAGGTACATTATATTGAGGATTGTTGTAGTGGGCCTGCTGAAGTGGCTGTGAAGGTCGCTGATGATGTGCTGAAGGGCGAGGAGCCGGCACGTTTCGCGCTTAATCTGTGAATGTGATGTTGGGGTGAACAGCCCTGCTGATTTTTTTAAGTTTTTGTTCAGTTCTAGTGGCATTCAGCTGGTCTCTGGCTTTAAATTGACTTATAGCATGTTTGTAAAATGCACAGCCTCTGTAGTTGACCGGATGGCCTTTTTGATTGCAGTTTGCGCATTTCAGAAGTTTTTTATTGCCTGTGTTTGTGATGGGACATTCACTGGGTCATGGGAATCGCCACATTTCACGCACCTGAAGGACATGCACAATTGGAACTCGCATGGCCAAAGCGCTGACATTTCTTGCACTGGAAAATAATGTTTTTTTTTAAGTTTCCCACCAAAATTTTTGGTACGCAAGAAACTCCCTTACTTGATTATTTGATTAAGTTTTTTTTTTTTTTTTCTTGTATCGTGTGAGATTGAATGTAGAAATGGACCTTTCTGGGAATTTCTTACTGAAAAATACTTCGGAGTCTTTGAGTATTGTGACTTTTTCGAGGTTAAGTTTTTCGAGCTCAACTTTGATATAGTTTTCGCTGAAGTCCCCACTAATGCCCTTTAGGATTAGGGTTTTGAGTTTCAGGTTTTTAGAAGTGCAGGTGTAGAACTCGGCCTTGTAACCTCGTAGAGCTTTCTTCACTTCGTCGAAGCGGTTTGTATCATGGGCAGTGATGATTACCTGGTTGGGAGCGATTGACTGTCTGATGTGGAAGGCCTGTTTTCTGATGTTGCTGTGATTGCAAAGTTTGATCGCCTACATGATCGACATATTTGACGTGGATCGGAGGGGGTTTAGGTTGGTTGATGGGTTTGGTCTATTGTACAGATTTTGGGATGGTCCCTGTGGGTATTTGATTGTTCCGTTGAGGGGACAGCGGAAAATTGATCAGCTGGTGAAGTTTGAGTGGACCCTGAGGGTAATTGATTGTCCAGTTGTGGGAAGACAGGGGAGTATTGGTCAGCTTGTGACGTTTGAGTGGTGAGGACATCTGGGTCCTCCTCCTCCATCTTCTCGGGATCGATATACCGGTCGTCGATGAGACCTTCGAGGCTGCTAAATTTATTCCTCAGGGAAGGGGAATTAGTATATTACGTATTATTATTAGTATATTAGTAATACTATTATATGATACGTGCGTGTAATCGCATGGGTTTCAGTTGACTATAGTCAACTGGAAAGTAGCGGGTTTCGAACGCCTACCCACTCTCAACTAAAACCCGAAATAACGCATGACGCGCATGCGCATCACCTATTAAAAGAGAATAACAAGAAGGGAAATCTAACCTCCGAATAGTGAATACATGGAATGACTGAAAAATGAAAAGATGATTTTCGAAGCAGATAAAATGAGCCAAAATCGTATAATTCCTGATAGTGATGAAGAGTTAGGCAGTGAGGAGGATTTATTTACTGATGAGGAGTTGATTGGTGATGTGACATTTGAAGAAAATGGAAATGAAATATTGTCCAATGAAGCAACATCAGCAGGATCGCCAAAAACTCGTTCGATCAAATACTGTAACTTAAGGGTTTTATTGAATTCTAATGATCACAGAATTCACCGAAACTTCACTGAAATTTGGTGATTAATTTCTAGAAATTAGTGACAAGTCATTGAGAATTCAGTAATGAAAATGAAATTTTTCAATCACACCTTTTTATAATTACTTTTTTAAATAAATATGATCTTTTTTCCTCAGAGGAAATTTCCTCTTTTTTCCTCCACTGCCAAACTTCATCACGCACTTATCATATAAAATAGTATACGCAAAACGTGCGGACAGTAAGCGGTATCCGCACTAAATTGTAAAATTCCTGGTTCATCTTGCTTTCCGCACTAGTTGCGTAATGTACTATTACAGTACCAAGAATAAATTCATGCTTTGGTCAGAATTATTTTTCTGATTTTGCATTGGTAGTCAAAATTTTCTGAAAGAAAATGGACATCACCTTGAACTTGGTAATTCAAAATATTTTTCAACTTTCACGTCGCGAAATTAATAGAGGTACAGAAAAAAAAGATTTCTTATCAAAAACTTGAAAAACTCTTGTTTTGAGATTATTTTTCATTTCTTGCCATAAATGACCTCTCTTAATTATAATTGGAATTGGAAAAAACAGGAAAAAGTAATCTTAAATATATCCACCGATAATTGCGTTAGAAAACTCGATTAATGCTAATTTTTCATATTGTTTTCCTGTTACAAGAAAAAGAATCAACAAACGCTTTTCCATCGTAACATTTCTACACAAACGTCTTCAGTGATTGGTAGCATGATTGGGCTAAAAATCATAATGAAAAGAACGAAACAGCACTACTGCGTAGATAACCAGGGAATAGTCGGGAAGAATTCGCATCCCCTTAGTTATGACCCAGAAGAATAAAAAGAAATAAGATGAATCTAAAATAGTATATTTCGATACGATTGCGGGAAAGTGTTTTTGGGGTCGTGGGAGGTTTATAGCACGAGCCGAAGGCGAGTGGTATAATCCCACGGGTCTAAAAACTCTTTTCCCGCGAGTATCGAACCCTATTTTTCATCACAATGTGTGGGAAGTGGGGTTTTGTGCACGCGGAGCGTGCGTAAAATGTCACTTTACACACAGCGTGATGAAAAAAATGTAAATATTGAATGTTAGAAATGAATAAAATTAATCATGAAACATACTAGAAACGTGTATTTTTTACACGCATGTGGTGCGTAATAACTACACACGTGATGTGAGTTACATATATACATACTTTTCATCACAATGTGGCGGAAATTGAACTTTTAGGCACGCGGAGCGTGTAATTACGAAAAATATTGTTCGTAACTCGTGAAAAAATGTTTTTTAGCTCGTGGGATTATATCACTCGCCTTCGGCTCGTGATATAAACCTCCCACTCGCCAAATAAACACTTTTTTGCACTCGTTACGAAATATACTATTAAAACGTATAAAAAGAGTCTACAAGATTTTGCACACTTAAATGTGTTAAATTTCTACGCTTTATAATGTCGTGATAAATTCTCATTTTCAAACTCTCAAAACGTGGAAAACCCGGAAAAGTGTCGAACCCGGAAAGTCCATTGGGGTAATTTGTAAGATGAAATCATACTCGAATTGAGTTGAGGAAAAGTCTCGTACGGAGAATGAGTGGTGCCGTCAGTGAGATCGAATGCCTGATGCTTATAACGTCTAGTATCGGTACGCTTATTGTCACATCACGGACGCAGTTGAAGTTCATGGTGACCGACTCACGTTCAAAAAATTAATCTGTGGAGTTTCGTTGATTTGGTTTGAAATTATAACATTATGATTAGTTATTACAATTTACTGCGGTTTTTTAATTATTCCCCTTCGTGGAACGCAAGTGATCGATGATTCTCATCATATAACAAGTGCTGTGAAGTCAAATATAAGTTCATTGAAATTCCTACAGTTGAATTATTCTCGATCGCTGCCATTATTTCGAAAAATTATTGGCAATGACTTGTGAAGAACTATGTGACGGTAGGTAAAGGAAGTATCATAATTTCGATAAAGTGAAATGAATTTTATAAAATGGGTTTTCACGAATGTTTCTGCCCTAGATGCATTGGCGAAAGAACGATCCATCGACACTGCGATTGAATTAGCAGGTAATGTAATATTGAAGCAGATGGGCACATTAAAAATCATGCGCACATAACAATGAACTTCGACGGATTCTTAAATCAATGCATATTTTTTAGCAATTAAAAGTAATGACTAATTAAAAAGGGATAGACGTAATGATAATAACATTTTGATTTTTATCGAGTTTAGGTAAAATGAGATTGGAATAATACGGCAACGAACAAAATTTTTGATTTTCAGGGACATGTCTCTAATTTTCAAAAATATATTACTGATTTCCAGGGACATGTCGCCGATTTTCAGGAATTCATCCTCAATTATTAGGCATTCGCCTAATGATCAGATGCGAGTAATTCGATGCGGATGTAATTCATGTATGGTACTTATTCCCTAACTGAAAAAAAAACTTGTTTATTCCCTCCAAACGGAGTATATGAGTGCCCATCCCGTTATTTTTACGGAAGGGCCACATGAATTAACCCAAGTGGATATGCTCAAATGAGAGAATTGGCGGTCCAAAATGATTGCGTAGGATCCAAGTGGGATATATCTCAGGGTCAATTTGAAAAATAAAATATATAATTGAGCCTTACATATACTTACAATAAAAAAATAACTCAGTATAACAGAATTATGGGAGGTGCAATTGTTAGCTATTACGCCCATCCAAAATCATGCCATTCATCAAATTTTTTTCACACACTATTGGTGAATAAACACAACTGTTCATCGTCCCTGAGTGCTCATTTCTCCCGTAATTACCCTATCATTCTGAAATTAATTGTTCTTACGCTCAGTGCTTGGCGTCTGTTTGCAGGAACAGGAAAATTCACCTGCAAAATTATAATCATAGGTGCATTGATTGTACTGAATGCATCATTTGTGACGACGAGTGTAAGTCTGATATTCCCTGCAGCTTCTTGTGACTTCAATTTAAGTAGTCTGGACCAGGGAGTTATAACTGCAACTCCTCTTTTAGGTGCGATAAATATCCATTCTATTCCTCATCACACGTGTGTTTGCTTCCGATAAGTATTTTAAATCTTACCAGTTGAATAGGTCTTGACGCATTCACATTGATAGCTATCATTTACTTAAGATAATGTGAAATGATTTTATTCATGGATATATATTCTCCTTTAGGTATGATATTTGGTTCCTATTTCTACGGTTGCTTGGCCGATTTGAGTGGACGAAAAAAGGCCCTAATAATAACTTTATTCTCCCAGGGATTATTTGAAGCTCTATCAGCTATTGTTTCAAATTACTGGGGATTTTTGGTTTTCAAATTTCTGAGTGGATTTTCGTACGTTGAAAGATATTTTAACTAGTCCAGACTAAAAATTAATTCATATCAGTTGTTCTAATATTCCAATCTTGATATGGACAGGTTGATTGCTCAGAATGGAGTGGGATATCCATATGTCGGCGAATGTTTACCACCGAAACTCCGACGCGAAGTGCTTTGCGCATTGGAAGTTGCATGGATAGTTGGAATGATAATATTGCCAGGTGATTTTTCATAATGATTATTTTCTGTTAAAAGATGCTTGAAAAACTCACCTGGTAATAAAAAACTCAATTTTTTTACAGGGTTTGCTTGGGCAATCATTCCACTAGAATTCACTTATACAACTGATTATTTCTTCTTCCATTCATGGAACCTTTTTGTACTCTTGTATTCACTTCTTGCACCGGGATTGGCGTTATGGCTCTTGACATTTCCCGAAACTCCAAAGTATCTTGCAGATAGTGGAGAAGATGCAAAACTCGCTAAAGCACTAGGAGTTATGCATTCAGAAAATACGGGAAAATCATTCAATGATTATCTTGTATGTACATTCACAAGCTGAAAAATTAGAAATTTCTAGTTTACATAGTGCACATTATTCGTAAAGAGGCTATTTTTAAGATTGCAAATAATTGAAATAAAACACTTTAGGAAGCCTTAACGAAGCATGATTTGCGTCAACTTCGCACACGCTTGGAAACTCAGGAGAGCCGAAAACATCATCTCTCTAAATCCGAGAGAACCAAAAAGATGTGCAGAGAAATTTTGGGCAATACGGCAAAATTATTGAGACGTCCATTCTTGAAACAAACTACGCTTATTTGTACACTTCAATTCTGCATCGGTTCGACGTATTTTTCTTTTACTCTGTGGTTTGCAGAATTGATCCGAAGATTGGAGAACTTTGAGGCCATGTTTCCAGGGGAATCCTCATGGATCTGTAGTGTTGTCCCTAAAGAAGTTTCTGCAAATATAACGGTAAACAGTTTTATCAAATTTTTCATAATCTTTTCTTTCCAAAACTTTCGGTAATATCTTATTTGTGCCTCTTTTGCTTTACAGGTTGAAACGGGGGAATGCTGCCCAGAAATTCCCATGAATGTTTACATGCACACTTTAATCATTAGTCTGGCATGCCTACCTTCGAATATTCTAGTCCCACTTTGCATACAAAAACTTGGATATAGATTTTTCATAGGTACACCATATCTAATTATTTGTAATACTTGCCTGAAAAGTTCAGTTTTCGCGGTTAAATAATGGTTTCAATACGTATGAAATGGGGTCTTGTGAAGGCGGCGCGTGGGTAAAATGTCACTTCAGACACAGTGTGACGAAATTTTGCTTTGTCGCACGCCATGCTGTTAACCGTCACTTTACATACGCTTCGCAGGTGTGATCGCACCCATGTCGTGCGATAATGGTTTTCTCCCTAAAGAGTTGGTTAATGATCCAACCTTGCCTTCTGTTCGGGCTATAGACCTGACACAGTCCAAAATGTCATTTACCATGAGTTATGTAAAATTTTAAAGTCACATTGATCAAAAAATACTTCTATCGGCCTGATGATATAATTTACTATTACAAAACTCGTGGTAAATAATATTTTTGAGGAGTTACCTCGTCTTTGCCTTGGGTTCTAAACCTCACACTCTTCCGAAACGTCACTTACCAACTCGATGCATAAAATACCATTACACATGTTCTTAACTTTACGCAATTTGTACAAAATCAAGTGCGTAACGTTTCAATTTTCTGTACGCACGAGTAATACATTCTATTTTTTATGATACTTTTTGGGTGACTGCCCATGGAACAGGAACCCCACTCACCGATTTGAGAATAAAGTTTCAGAATCCACACGGGGACACGTCCGTATAACCCATTAGATCACAAGTTTTTCCCATCAATTTTATTTGCTCGACTCTAATTGGTGTACGCGGATGCGTTTCCGTGTAGATTCTGTTCCATGGGCAGTCACCCTTAGAGTTCACTTTTCAGGAACCTAGTAAAGGCGGAGTATTTGTTTTTGTTCAATGAGTGCGTAACATTCAAGATATATACTTCACGCATAATCTTTGAACTTCACGCAAGTCGTGAGGAAAACTAATACTTTACGGCCGCTAAACCGTCCCGAAAAGTGAACTTTTCGGACAGTTATTATAAACAACCACTTATCCGCCCTCGTATCAAACTATAATATCTAATAAATTTCGATAAAGTTCAATATACAAATTGGAAATTTATCTTTCAGTGACATATAATGCTGGTGCATTCTGCATAGCAGCTGGATTATTTTTCGTACAATCATCAGTTCAAAACCTCATCTTATCAGCATTTTATGAAGCGTTCACTTCAGTTGGTTTAGCTTTAGTGCTGGTAGTCATTATAGAATTATATCCCACGCAAATTAGGTAAGTTACTGGAATACAATAGTACATTTCGTCATTAGACCTAAAAAACTTTTCTGGCGAATATGAGTTTGCAGCCCAAGCCCATTCCTAAATAATGCAATTGCACCAAATTATATATTCGTAGAGCAACAGCGTCAGCATTTGGTATGTTACTAGGAAGAATAGGTGGAGTCTTCGGGAATCTACTCATTGGATATCTGATTGATAAATACTGTGGCTCTTTCATCGTAATAACTATGGCTCAACTTTTAGGTGACTCCATGCAATCAATATGCTCAGAATATGATACCGTACATTCAGATGAATACTTATTAATCTGTTGAATTTATTTCACAGTTTGTGTAATCATCGGTTTCATACTGCCAGTGAAAAGAGGACAGAAGAAGACAGTGAACGAAATTTGCGAATCACCAGTGTATAAGATAGATAACACACACCTCTAGTTGAAATAATATAAAATTTCAAAATAGTTTTCTCTACATATGAATATTTATCAATTTTTTATACACAATCCTTCGGTGGTTAATTACACACGTTTTCGATAAACCTTTTTTGACAAGTGTGTTCACAAATTTTCCCTGAAAATAGTATCCTGCAATGGAAATCCAGATTATTATGAAAATAAAATAAAACTAAGCGTTATGAGCAGTTTTTCATATCATCTCACCAATTGTTATTAAATGGTATTTTTGATCTTTCTTTCAATGGTTACGTTTAGCGGGGTTTCTTTCCTTCTAGAACAACTCAACCGACAGCTTTGTAGACCAAACGAAATGTGTAATCATAAATGTATATGGTAGTATATTTATAGACAATAATTTTACTTGATAATTCCTATAGTCAATTTATTCTCCTTTACAAACTTACTCAAACCAGTTGTGACTAAAGCGTTCATGTAAAATGGACGCGCTTGAGAGGCATTGAAATGAAGAATCCGAAAATTATGATTATTTCATCTCATCATTTCTAATTCATTATAGATGAGTAAAATAATGTAAATAATGATTCTTCATCTATTATTCATTTCCAAATTGAAGCATTTTGAGTAAAAATATAGTGTTCACGGATAATATGAAAAAAGTAGTTGTGGATCTTTATCACTCTGAAACGAAATTTAATACATGTACCCATCATGCTCAGATATCAATCATAATAGAAGACTGCGAATGCATCGAGAACCTGTACTAAATTCCCTTTGTCCTGCAGCTTTCAGTGAATTCCCATGATACTCCGGCGAATACCTTCCTCTCTTGAGACATCTGATCCGACGAAAAAATCCAAGATTATAAACAAGAATTATTTTACAATTAAACGAGATGCGCCCGGCGACGATAAATAACACGGGCGTGTTTATATACGTGACGCAGGAAAACCCTGGGGTCATCGCCGGAGCAACCCGACACCGGGCTGCTGGTCATTCATAAAATCCTGTGGTTGCATCGATCAACTCGCTGTGTTATCCCCACGCTATACCTCCGCGATGTGAGAATAAATAAATAAATGAATCAATGAATGAGCAACGGAATTTAGCTGATGAATATGTCTGAAAGGAAGACAGTATCGTTTATTTCCATCACGTACCTACAATTGCAGTGATTTTTTAACCAGAAAAGCTTCCAAACAAAATAGGTACTACAAATTTTTGCTACTTTATTTTTGAATAAAGAAAACGAAGTTAGTCTAACATTACCAGTAAAAAATAACTTTTGTAACAGAATTTATTATTGAGTTAACGTATTGACTCCCCCAATGTTGATTTTCCTTATTTTCCATTCATTATATATACAAGCTACGCATAAAACTCAACCGCAGAACGTCGTGAGTAAATGCCGCGCCATTAGAAGTTGCAAGAAATATTTCTACCAGCCGTATGAGCATTAAATCCATATACATCTCCTCAAGTACCGCATGTGATCTCAGGTATTTTTCATCACTCCCACCATTATAAACCTATTCTCTCCCATGCAAAATTCTGCGCCAGTTGCCTGTGAAAGAATAAACCACACAGTACTCAGAAACAGCGCTAGTTTGAAGGTGAAACCCCTAGTTAACTGCAAGAATTGTGTATTTCAATCTTGATGATGCCCATTGAGCCCTAGCATACGTGTGTGCGCGGTGATCACAGATATTGCCATCGAATCGGCAGCTATTAGACCGTGGATTTACCACTAAGATTACAGTTTGAAGCGTGGAGTGAACCAGGTCTAATGCTGTTGCTTGAAAAAGAAGATGGGGATATCGTAGGTGTGATCAGAAGGCGTCGGGGAATGCATTCGATTTCCAAGCCAAAAGGCAAGGGGAAAAGGAGAGCCCAAGAGACAAGCCATTACCCTGTCTCAGTCATCCCTTCAATGTGTCTATGTGTGCGTGAGAAATGTGCTCTTACATTGGAGTCAGAGGGGCAAGTCAATGTAATGTAAATAGAGCTGAGGAGCAGTAATGATATCTGTAATTTACCGTAACGAAACCGGTAATCTAGCCACCGGTAAATCACCAAAATTGTAGATAATCATTTTCACACCGCGAATCGCCGTGTAGAGCGATTTTTAAAAAATATATCCTTAGTTCATTGTAATTTTGGTCACCATTTTTTTTGCTTTTCGAATTTTAAATGCTGTTTTCAGGGGCGAGGAGAAGAGAGTAAGGCCGAGCAACTGCGGCAACCATAAAGCCGCGTGTGTGCATGGACCCAGGTAGGAATTGACGATAGAAACAGGACTCATCAAGCCCTGGAGCAAGGCTTGGAAATGCTCAACAAGGGCTGAAGCTCAGCCTTGGATCAGCCCTCCTTCAGCCCCAAAATGATAACCTCGTTTTAGACTTAGTCCATAAGGCTTCAACAATGCTTGGCGCCAAGGCTTGGTCCAAGCCGTGAATTACAAAATTTTAAAGGCTCAATGGCACTTCTTTTAAAAAAATCATATTAATGTTTACGGATATGTGTTTAAATAATTTCTTATTGCTTCATAACCCCTTTTATGAATCCAGAGCAACTTATGAAAAAGACTGACGGGACTGTACAGTTCCTCTTGTAAAAAATTTTTTTTATTTCTGCATTTCTGGGGTAAGTGAGGGTCTCAGTGGCACTAGGCGGGCCAGAAAATACAAAATCGACGTGCACTCAGCGGAAAAATTCGATTTTGGCGAAAGTCAACTTTCCCCCCGAAAAAAGCCTAAATATGGCACTTTGGCTGCGGGTGAAAAATTTTTTTTTTTATTTCTGCATTTCTGGGGCAAGTGAGGGGCGCAGTGGCATTAGGCGGGCTAGAAAATACAGAATCAACGTTCACTGTTCACTGAAAGTCGACTTCCCCCCCCCTCCCCCAAAAAAGCCTAAATATGGCACTTTGGCTGCGGGTGAAAAATTTTTTTTTTTATTTCTGCATTTCTGGGGCAAGTGAGGGGCGTAATACTAAAAAAGGCTCTCGCCTCACTCTCGTCTCCCAATAAATGGCGAGAGCAGAGGCGATAGTACACTAAAGGCTATCGCCCCACTCTCGTCTCCTAATAAATGGCGAGAGCAGAGGCGATAGTACACTAAAGGCTGTCGCCCCACTCGTTTTTTAATAAATGGGGAGAGCAGAGGCTATAGTATACTAGAGGCTATCGCCTCACTCTCGTCTCTCTATAAATGACGAGAGCATGGGTGATAGTAAAGTATAGGCTATTGCCTCACTCTCGTCTCCCACTAAACGGCGAGAGCAGAGGCGATAGTACACTAGAGGCTATCGCCTCACTCTTGTCTCTCTATAAATGATGAGAGCATGGGTGATAGTAAAGTATAGGCTATTGCCTCACTCTCGTCTCCCACTAAACGGTGAGAGCAGAGGCGATAGTACACTGAAGGCTATCCCCCCACTCTCGTCTCCTAATGAATAGCGAGAGCAGAGGGGATAGTACACTAAAGGCTGCCGCCCCACTCGTTTTTTGATAAATGGCGAGAGTAGAGGCTATAGTATACTAGAGGCTATCGCTTCACTCTCGTCTCTCTATAAATGACGAGAGCATGGGTGATAGTAAAGTATAGGCTATTGCCTCACTCTCGTCTCCCACTAAACGGCGAGAGCAGAGGCGATAGTACACTGACGGCTATCCCCCCACTCTCGTCTCCTAATGAATAGCGAGAGCAGAGGGGATAGTACACTAAAGGCTGCCGCCCCACTCGTTTTTTAATAAATGGCGAGAGTAGAGGCTATAGTATATTAGAGGCTATCGCTTCACTCTCGTCTCCCACTAAACGGCGAGAACAGAGGCGATAGTACACTGAAGGCTATCCCCCCACTCTTGTCTCCTAATAAATAGCGAGAGCAGAGGCGATGGTATACTAGAGGCTATCGCCTCACTCTCGTCTCTCTATAAATGACGAGAGCATGGGTGATAGTAAAGTATAGGCTATCACCTCACTCTCATGCCCCAATAAATAGCGAGAGCAGAGGCGATAGTACACTAAATGCTATCGCCCCACTCTCCTCTCTTAATAAATGGCGAGAGCAGAGGCGATAGTACACTAGAGGTACTCTCTAGAGGCACTCTCGTCTCCTAATAAATGAAGAGAGCATGTGCGATAGTACAGTAAAGGCTCTCGCCTCACTCTCGTCTCCCAATAAATGGCGAGAGCAGAGACGATAGTACACTAGAGGCTATCGCCTCCTCTCGTCTCCCACTAAACGGCGAGAGCAGAGGCGATAGCACAGAGAAGCTCTCGCTTCACTCTCGTCTCTCCATAAATGGCGAGAGCACGGACGATAGTACAGTAAAGGCCTCACTCTCGTCTCCCACTAAACGGCGAGAGCAGAGGCGATAGTACAAAGAAGACTCTCGCCCCACTCTTGTCTATCTAAAATTGGCGAGAGCACAAGCGATAGTAAAGGGTCTCGTTCCATTCTCTTCCCGCTCCAAATGGCGAGAGTCGGGCGAGAGTCCCCCTTGTTCGCTGCCGCTCTCGCCTGACTCTCGCATTGACTCTCTTCCCAAGAAAATATACGAGAGCACCAGCTCTCGCCAAGTTTCGCTAGGGTATGAAGTGATATGGGTTCATATGAGGTTCATACAGGGGCTGTATGAGGTCATATGGGGGTTCTATGGGCCCATGAAAGGGTAATATAGGGATCATAAGAGAGTCATATGGGTATCATTATTCAAAACAGTAAAAAATAAGAGTAATAAATTTAAAAAGTAAAGAATCCATTCAGAAGCATATTGCTAATTTGTTAGCAACATAAACTACCCGAGTAGAAATTTCGTCAGGCTGACCTTTTGGCAGAGAAGGCCCTGCTCCGGTATCGATACGGTATACCTGATTACGGCATGCCAGATCAGGGCCTGAAGGGGACCATTGCATGTTCACCTTACCACTAAATTCCAAACTTTAAGCAGGCATGCCTGATCATGCCTCAGTCAGGGCCTTTTGAGGGTACCGTGATACAGAAAAATTAAAGTTACATCAGGCATGTCTGATAAGGGAAATTCCGGAGTCTTTTTCAGCCTGTTTTGATTGAACACGTGTGCTTGTTGAGGATACCGGATACGACCAACTCGATTCGGCTATGATCAGGACCAGGTAAGGTATGCCAGGAATCCTTAACTTCGAAAATTCTATAATTTCAATACGGCGAACCTGATTCGGCAATGCTCAGGTCCGGATAAGGCATGTCGTACGGGACTTGAAAAAATTTTCATCAAACAAAGAGTCGGGGTGGAAATGGTAAAGGTGGGCGGGTCGGAGGGGAGGGGGGATGATGGTCAGGAAAATTATACTAATTGATATTATTTTAGATTTAGTTCAGTACTACAATTTTATTGGT